TTTTTTTTTTTTTTTTTTTTTTTTTTTTTTTTTTTTTGGTCTGTGCCGCACTGCATGGGGGATCTTAGTTCCCCAGCCAGGGATTGAACCCGTGCCCCCTGCCCTGCAGTGGAAGCGCAGAGTCCTAACCACTGAACTGCCAGGGAATTCCCGTTTCTTCTTTGTCTAATTATTTACAACAGTGACTCACTCCATTAGCTGAGCAAGGGACTCCCTTGCATGGTCACTAATTACACCTTCCCTAATCCGGAGGTAGAGTGAGGAGGGATGGTCATGTAGACCTTTCAGTCTTTGGAGAATAAGGGAGACCCTGAAGGCCTCCCACGGAACTGGTAAACAATCTCCGTGGGGTAAGAATGCCGATGGCATCCTGTTACCACAGGACAGCAGTACCTAGGAAATTAGGAGTTAGCAATGTTTTCAGCTACAGTCATCTACCACTGGTATCCACCATATACCTTGCTAATGCTCCACGTCACCCTCTTCTATCACCCAGAGTCTCAGCGTTCCTTCCCCTCCTGTCTCAGAGCACCCCGGGAGAGCCTGTGCTCTAAGACACAAATGTTGCAGTGAGACTTAGTGAGTCACATGATCTGGCCCTTCCTCTCCATCCTCAGCACCGACAGTTCCCCAGCTCTAGGCTTCACTGCCCAACTTCCCTACAGCTCCGGCTTCCCACAGGCACCGCACGACGCCACATGTCAGGAATGGTCTTCCTCGAGAGCTGCTTTGCCATTCCAGCTCCAACAGCGCCCCCAAAAAACTTCTCCTATACTCTACCCCCCCTTTGGGTAGAACAAATGCATTCTTCATTGGTCACCGAGCTTCGTACATACCTACATCATCACGTGTTGTTCTTACTGCAGTTGATTCTGTCTGTTTCTTCCACTAAACCATACCTTGGAAGAGAGAGTCTATGACTTATTTGTGTCCTCAGCACGTGGCAGAACACCTGACACATACTAAGTACTCAGTTCATGTTTATTGGAGTAATTAATCTAGGCAGCTGGTGGGAAGCCGCCTCCCATAACACACCAGGCATGGGAGCACAGTGGTATGAATTCAGTTATTAGTTTTTATCAGTCAGTTGCATTAATGACATCAGTGACAAAAACTAGTGAGTCACCTCGTGCCATGGAAGGCAGGTGCTCTCCTGGGGGCTCTGCTATGGCATGCAGCTTCCCGCCCGCTGCCTAGAGGGTTCCATGTCGAGCACCTGCATTGAATTAGATGCTGTGTGAGTGCCGAGGAGGATCCAGAGTAGGACACCAGCCCTGCCCTCATTTCTCCCATTTGGGATCTCGCGTTACCGTGGATCATCGAGAACAGTACTTATAAGGTTGGAGTAATGTTATGCATTGTGAGCTGTAATAAACAAAACCCATCAGGGAACTCTAACTACCTGCCAGTGGGTATTTTTAGTCATTGCGTAGCTCTTTCCTTTCACACCTGCAGTGGGCTGTTCTGTCTCCTGTGAGGTGACACTAAGGTTGTTAACTAGGTGATCTGTGTCCCCTGCTCCCCTCCTGAACCACAAGCGCCCCTTGTTAATTTCATCCGTCAACCGGTAGATGTTGTTGCCACTCTCTCAAGGTACCTGGCTCAGAGCCATTTCCAGAACCAAGTCCGCTTTTCTCTTCTCCCTGCAGAGCGAGCTACTACCGAAAGGGAGGCTGTGCGATGCTGCCGGTCAAATGGATGCCCCCGGAGGCCTTCATGGAAGGAATATTTACTTCTAAAACAGACACGTGGTGAGTCTTTCTGCCGCCCTCCTCCAGGTCCCACCGTGGGCCTTAAGGGAGAGCTCGAGAGCCAAATGATCCCACACTCTCGTGGGGAAGGGTAAGAAGAATCAACATACCTCTCCTACGGGAGCTCTCAGAGGTTGGCGTACATCGAGCATCGGAACCACCGGAAAGGCTTTGGTAAAACACAGGTAAACACTGGACCCCACCCTGAGAGCTTAGGATTCAGAAGGTCTGAGGTGGCTGACAAGTTGCATTTCTAGCAAGTTCCCAGGCAATGCTGATGCTGCAGGCTGGGGGACCACACACTGAGAGCCACACGTAATAGCGAAGTTAGATTTATTCCAGGAATGCAACATTGAGTTAAGACTAGAAAAATTGATCAATGAAATTCTCCACATTGACAGAATCATGGAGAAAAGGAAATAATTATGAGCACAAAAGTGCTGCAGGTGATGGTGGTGGTGAGACCCCTTCTACAGCTAAAAATCAGTTTGGAAAACACTGTCTGCACATTAGATGTCCAGAACTTCTTCATCCCGCATAACTGAGACCTTGTGCTCCTTGACCAACATCTTCCCCTCCCCCTCCCCTCAGCCCCTGGCAACCACCATTCTACTCTCCGCGTCCATGGTTCCGCTTCTGAGTGTTTGTCTTTCTGTGTCTGACTTATTTCATTTAGCATACTGTCCTCCAGGCTCATCCATGTTGTTGCAAATGGCAAACTTCCTCCTTGTTTATGGCTGAGTAATATTCTATGGTTTACATACATGCCACATTTTCTTTATCCATTTATCCATCAATCAATATTTAGGTTGTTTCCATATCTTGGCTATTGTGAATAATGCTTCAACGGACGTGGGAGTGCAGATACCTCTTCAAGATACTGATTTTATTTCTTTTGGATGTATACCCAGAAGTGGGATTTCTAGATCTTTAGTTCTATTTTTAATTTCTTGAGGAATCTCCATACTGTTTTACATAATTCCTGTAAGAGCAACACATAATATTTTAAATGGTAAATTGAACCTGTGCTCCCTCCCAAAATACACACACACACACACACACAAACACACACACACACACACACACACACACACACACACACACACAAGGGAGTCTTTTTAGTTGCATAAAAATCCACAAGGTCAAAGACAACAACAATGGCAAAATTTGGGAAACTGGAGCGTTTACAGACAAGTGGTCTCTTACTTAGAAAATTAGAAAGTTGCTATCTAGGGCCATCCAGAAGCAGCCTGGTTCACTCTGCCTGATCAGGAGCCCCAGAAAGGCCCAGGAATGGAAGGTGCCGGCACCTCTGAAAGTAGAGGTGCAGCAGAGAGGAAAATGAGTTACAGATCTGTTTAAAAAGTAACTAGATCATTCCCTCACCCCATCCCTCCTCTACCATCACACAGGGCTGGGGTTCCCTCTCTGAAGAGGTTGAACTAAAGTCTTTCCGGCCTTAGGGACATCAGACATCAGCAATTCTCTACTATAAGCATGCATATATATATATATATATATTTTTTAAGTCTACCTACTTAAAGGTGTAATGCCCCCTCCATCCCCTCAGTGCCAAGAACACGGCAGCTAGGCAGAAGGAGATGAGGAGATTCTTGAAGGAGGGACTGACCAATGAAGTGAAAAACTTCAGACACCACAAGTGCTAGTGGGCTGAATAATGGCCATCCAAAGGTATCAGGCCCTCATCCCAGAAACCTGCCGTTGTTCCCTTATAAGAAAAAAGGAGTCTGCAGATGTGATTAAGTTGAGGATCTTGAAGTGAGACATCCTGGATTATCCAGTGGGCCCTAAATGCCATCACAAGTGGCATGAGAGGCAGAGGGAAGTTTCATACACACACAGAGGACAGAGGCAGAGGTTGAAGAGATGTGGCCACAAGCCAAGGAATTCCAGCATCCACCAGAAGCCGGAAGAGGCAAGGAACAGTTCTCCTCTAGAGCCTCTGGAGGGAGCGTGGCCCCGCAGTCACCTTGCTTTCAGCCCACGCGACTGGTTTCAGACATCCACCCTTTGGAACTGTGAGAGAATAAACTTGTGTTCTTTAAGCCACCAAGTTTGTGGTACTTTGTTACAGCAGCCAGGAAACTAATGCACCTCGTGAAACAAGCGAGCCAGTTTGCCCGCCAGTTGACAGGCCTCATCTACATAGAGCTTCCCATCACCTTTGTCATGTCCCAGTCTTAATACATGAACAGACAGCCAAGAATCAACAAGCGCTTGAGAAAAGATTCTGATCTGAAGGAAACAAACGTATAAAAAGGAACTTGGAGGAAGAAGAATGCAGAAAGCTTAGGAAAACTTTTAAAAACAATATCCTCGAAGGTTATATTATTGCAACCATAATCTAAAGACAAAAGATTATTTAAAACAATGTTTTTAGGGAAAAAAAATTCCTGGATATAAAAATATGATGAGAGAGCCCTCCAAGGAGATGGAGCATTAGTTCCCCGGAGCCCATGTGGGCAGCACACGGCAGCATCCTTTCAAAGAGCACAGGGAGGGAAAAGCAGGGAGAAGAAAGAAACTTGGCAAACGCTACCTCAGCCAGGCGATCAAGGTCAACGTGAACAGTGACAGATCATGTTGATAGCAAGTACCTTCATCTGATATGATGAAATGGCAACCTCTGTGGTCTTTCTCCCAAAACCCAATAACTCCAGTCTAATCCTAAGAAAAACAGACAAATCCTAATTTGACATTCTAGAAAATTCCTGACTTGTACTCCTCGAAACTGTCAAGGTCATCAAAAACGAGGAAAATCTGAGACGTTGCCAAAGTCAAGAGTAGCCTAAGGAAACATGACAACTAAATATAACGTGATGTTCTAATGGGGTCCTGGAACAGCAAAAGGAAATTCAGCAAAAATTAAGGAAATCTCAATAAACTATGGGCTTTAGTTAATAATAATGCCTTAATATTGGCTCGTTAATTGTAAGGAATGTATCACATTAATGTAAGATGCTAAAAATAGAGGGAACTGAGTGTGAGGTATGTGGGGACTTTCTGTATTATCTTCATAATTTCTTTACAATCTAAAACTGTTCTTAAGAAAATAAAGGTTTTGTTTTTTAAAAGATGATGATAGATGTGTGAAAGTAATGGAAAGATTGGAAGACAGAGTCGAATAAATCTTCTAGAAAATAAAACAACTATAGATAGATGGAATAGATAGGAAAGAAAAGAAAATTAAAGGGATTAGACCATTAGACCCAGTTAGCTGAGAACTAGGAGTCCCAGAAAGAATGAATAGAGGAAATGAAAGGAATAAAAATATCAAAGAAATAATCCAAGAAGATTTCCCAGAAGGACATATGTTTCCAGAGTGAAAGCATCTAGCAAGTGCCAAGCACTGAATAAAGAGAGTAACACAAGAGCACATCATCATGAAATTTCAGACCAGTGGTGATCAAGATGCTGCAAGCTTCCAAGGAGACAAATAAAATCATCGTAAAAAATGATCAGAAGGGACTTCCCTGGTGGTCCAGTGGGTAAGACGCCATGCTCCCAATGCAGGGGGCCCGGGTTTGATCCCTGGTCAGGGAACTAGATTCCACAGGCATGCCACAACTAAGAAGCCCCTATGCCGCAACTAAAAAGATCCCACATACAGCAACGGAGTCCATGTGCCACAACTGAGACCTGGCACAGCAAAAAAAAAAAAAAAAAAAAAAAAATCAGAGATGAAGGATAGGGAATCCAGGGCTTCCCTGGTGGCGCGCAGTGGTTGAGAGTCCCCCTGCTGATGCAGAGGACGCGGGTTCGTGTCCCGGTCCGGGAGGATCCCACATGCCGCGGAGCGGCTGGGCCTGTGAGCCATGGCCACTGAGCCTGCGCGTCCGGAGCCTGTGCTCCGCAACGGGAGAGGCCGCAACAGTGAGAGGCCCACGTAACACACACACACACACACACACACACAAAATCACTCTGGCTTCCATTGAAAATAGACTGGAGTGGGGCAGGTGAAGATGAGAAGCCAGTTAGGAGAACACTGCTCATTTCTAGATAAGAGATGAGAGGGGCTAGACCTGGTGGCAGCAGTGGAAGCCATTGGCCGTGGTCAGTTTCAAGCTCTGTCTTGAGAGTAGGCAACAAGACTGCGCTAAGTTGGATGTGGAGTGGGAGGTGTGGGGAAGAGTGAGATCAAGGACGATTCCTAGGTTTGCTGCTTGAGCAGACAGCTGGACAGTGGTACTGCTGAGCTGGAAAGACTGGAGGAGGAGATGGTTTGGGTGCAGAAAGAGCTCATTGGAACATGTCAAGTCTGAGTTGTCTATTAAAATAGGCCGGTGGAGATGGCAGTACATGAATTTGAAGCTCAGAGAACTGCAGCGAACTGTGGATGGAATCAGCTGGAGATTTAAATACGATACAGTAACTTTGGGGTTTCCATTTTTCCTAAAAGTGCGCACCACCCTCTACCATAATTGGGGCCAGTGGTGGTTCAGATGGAAGGGGCAGGCAAAGTGTGAACACAGAGACATAATTGGAGACAATCTTCCAACTTCAAGTTATGAATAAAGGAAAATAAAGTTTAGCTTTAAAAGGTGATAAACACAGCACAGTTGTGACTTTAAATTTTTCATCAGATTATATTCACTGATTCAAATTTTTAAAATAATTTCATCAGCAATCACTTAAGCTATTTCTATAATTTCAGGCAGAGCAAGTTCAATACCAGGAGAAACAGAGTGGGATTTTTTTCTTATATTTGTTTCTGTTTGATTTTGAATGCTTTGGTGCAAAGCTTTGGACCTTGTAGTTCCTATTTAGGACAGGTTCAGCTTATAGGTGATTAAAGAACCATTTGGCATACAAAATATAGATTTACCTTATCTGTAGGATTGCTAGATAAAATACAAAATGGCCAGTTAAAATGGAATTTCAGATGAACAGTGAATAATGTTTTGGTATAAGTATGTCCCATGCAGTGTTTGGGATACACTAATACTATAAAGTATTTCTTGTTTAACTGGAATTCAGATGTTACTGAGTGTCCTGTCTGGTTATCTGCTAAATCTGACAACACTACTTACCTGAAATTATCCACGTTCTATAATCAGCATGACTTCTTGCTCCCTTGAACTCTAAAGTAAGAAAATAAACACCTATTTTCAGTCTATATAGTGGTTCTCTCAAAGGATACTGCAATCTATCTCCCTAGCTGTCTATCTAGACAAGCAGAAAACATATCGCTGGAATTCTTTAAGCCCTGCTGCCAGTTTCATCCATGATTTCGCTTATTTTGTTTTGCCTTGGGGGCAGACCACCAAACAGAGAGGAATAATATATGCACCAGGCAATCTGTAGGTAGTAGAATTAAGAGATCTAATAATGTATTCCAGTCTGTCTTGAATTAGCTGTATAATAACCTCTGCTTCAGCCTTCTCACCTAAAATATATGGAAAATATCTTTGCCCAATTCTCCTCATAAGAACCTTTGAAATTTCACCTAAATTATGTCAATAAAAAATACTTTGTGTTCCTTAGGAGATGGAGGAACTATAGTTCTTTACAATTTTTGAGGTAATATTTATTAACATCAGAAAACTACAACCAGACACAAAAATTAAAATAGGCTCTTTTTTTGGTCAAAAAGCTAATTATGAAATTAAAGTTTTAGTCAAAATATCAAAGCAGATGATTTTGGAACATGATAAAAATCATTATAAAGTTCATTTAAAGCAAATAAATGAGAAATCAAATACATTTCTTTAAAAAGAGAGAAATAAGGGGAAAATGCCCTACCAGATATTAAAACATAAATACACAAAAAGTAAAAGAGAGTAGTATCAGTGCAAGAAGGAGGCAAATCGATGAAGTGAATAGATAGCCTGGAACAGACCTGTTTTACTCACAAGTCAATAGTTGAAGAGCAAATTATTTTAGGAATATGTATTGTTCAAAAAGTGGTTTTAGAAGAGCTAATAAAGTGACATCCTTACCTCACACTATACACCAAACTCAATTCCGACTGGATTTGGGAAGAGAGAAAAAAACAAATACAACTGGAAGAAAATAGCAAATATTCATCTAATTGCTGGTAAAGAGAGGACTTATAGAATCTATAAAACAGATGGAGGAAATCACAAAAAAAATTTTAAATAGATTTGACTACCTAAAAATAAAAATCTTTGGCATGCTAAAAAGGAGAATTAGAAAGCAACTAATAGAAGTTATTTGAATTGTGGATAAAAGGTTAACATCTTTGATATATCAAGTTTGTCTATAAATCAAAAAACTGATCGATACCAAAACAATATGTGGTTTAAAATGGACAATATGTGGTTAAATATGAACCATTCATAGGAGAAAAAAATGAATTAACACGCACACTCAACCGTGTTAATTATCAAGTCAATGAACATAATTTAAAATATTCTACCATTTTTTACCTTAAAAATCAGCAGAAGTTCTCAGTGTTGGTGGGAGTGCCTGATGCACAATGCTGGCTGATGATCAGAGTGACCCTTGGGAAGTCAAATGGACAATATGGGTAACGAAGGTTTCAGTGTTCATATTATTTTGACCTAGTAATTCCTTTAAAATTATCCTAGCTTTTACTAGATTATCCTAATTCTAAATTCAGGAAATTATCCTAAGGAAATTGTCCTTTTAAAAATGTATAAAGATGTTCAGCACAGTATTTTTAAATATTTTAAAAATGTAAAACAGTATGGAAATGATACAGCAAATTGTGGCACAGCTACTCAGTGGAACACTCTACAGCCGTGTCAGTCTATTGATAAAAATGTTGGTATTAGCATGCAGAATGTTTATGCTATAATGGAATTTGCAAAAAAAAATCACAGCAATTATATAAAAAAAATCTAAGCACAGAAACGTGAACAAAAAAAAATAACATGCTGGTTATGTTTTTATGGAGCTTCACATGTGACTACTTTCTCATTCTTTCCTTTTTCTCCATATGAAGAGTTCTTTATTGTGGAAAAAATGTGAAATTTAAAAAATTAAAATTTTACATTGTGTACGTCTGTGTGTGTCTATGTATGTGTGTCTGTGTATGTGTTTATGACCCTGTGTATATGATATGTATGTGCGTCTGTGTATTTATGTGTGTGTCCGAGTGTGTATGTGTACACGTGTGTGTGTCAGTGCCTGTGTCTGTGTGTGTACCCGTATCCACATCTCCCGTCCTGTGCGCAGGTCCTTCGGAGTGCTTCTGTGGGAAATCTTCTCTCTTGGATACATGCCGTACCCTAGCAAAAGCAACCAGGAGGTTCTGGAGTTTGTCACCAGTGGAGGACGGATGGACCCACCTAAGAACTGCCCCGGGCCTGTGTACGACTCTTTTAGGAATTTCTACAAGTTACTAAGCACAGTTTTCCTTTTCAAGGAATATCTGCAGCCACATATGCTTTTTTGTTTTAAAATAAGGAACCAGACGGCTGACCTCATTTAATATGCCCCAAGAGAGGACTATGTCTGTGGCTTCAATGGGTTAGTCTTCCAGCCCCGTGAAAGCAATAATGTCACACCTGAAAAGGTATCCGTCGTCTGGATGGAGGCTGTGGCCTCACCAGGCTCACACGCCTCAGGCACCTCCTAGGAATCTGTGTCCCAGACTCCGCCCCTGCCGCCCTGCACCATGGGTCTTGAGTCTCCTTTAAGTGTTTCTATTCCCTGCGTTTTCTGCTGTCCTGTCTGGCATCCCTCGTTCCCACAAACAAGGCAGATGGGAAATAGAATATTCTGTCCCAGAGCTGACTTTAATTCAGGAATGGAACGAGAGGAGACATGTGTAACGTAAACACCAGGATGTCCATGTTCACGAGCCCTATGTTATATACACCTTCACACTCTGCCCATCAGCAGAGGGCAACATGTGCCAACACGGGACAAGATGAGTCCCCACCCTCGAAGACAGTACCATTCCAGTCCCATTTAGAAAAGTGCTGGGGGAAAAAACGTATTTTTCATCCTGTTTCTCTTGATTCTAATTAATGTGCTTGTTCTTATTTTAGATACCGGATAATGACCCAGTGCTGGCAACATCAGCCTGAAGACAGGCCCAACTTTGCCATAATTTTGGAGAGGATTGAATACTGCACCCAGGTATAAACATTTCCGCCCCCCTTGGCCAGCATTTATATGGAAAAGTCTTGCAGATGGCAAATACCAGAATGGGAAATAACAGTTACACCAGCCAGGAAACATGAGTTATGATCATGAGGACGAATGTTAATTATCTATAAAGTAAAATGAGTAGTAGCTCAGTTTGCCTGTTTTGTAGACAAATACTAGTCGCTGCCACTTAAGAGGAGCTGAGGCTTGGAGAGGTTTTGTCCAAGCCACACAGCTTCCCCGCCATCCCGCTGGTCCCTACGCAAATCCCGCTCCCATTTCCGTCAGTAAGGACTAAGTTTTTCCTCTTTTGATAGAAATGGGATACCATTTCTGCAGACGACTATGCCTCCTACCTCCTCAAGAGAGGAGGCCATCAAGTGAGAACCCCCGCCCCCTCCGTTTCCCTCGTCTCTGCACCTGCGCCGTCCTCAGTGGAGCCGTGTCCTCCTCTCCTTCAGGGCGGTCCCTCCTTCTGCACCACTCGCACCACTTTCAGGCCAACACTTACCTCCTCTCCGCTGTATGTGCTTTCTTTCCCTCTCTTGCCTCTCATTCCGTCAGGATATCTAGTTCTGGAGAACATTTTAGAAGTCAGACAATAAGCCACTACCTCTCTAAACTCCCTCTCATCTTAGCTGTGACAATAGACATACCCATTTTCACACTGTAGTCATTTCCTGTCCTCATGATTCCATATTTTCGGGTCCTTTGGGCTCGGAAGGCATTTATCTACACAGACTTCAAGTCATTCGGGGTTCTTTCAGAGAACTTTACATTCAGTGGCTTTTAGGTTATTATGTTGTAATATTAATGGAATACATCCACTTAAGTATATATACTTTGGAGTAATTTTCTTCTCCAAAGTACATAAGATCCCTCTTAAAAGCAAGGAACTCTGAACAAGCATATTTTGAATGACTCACTATAGAGATTAATGATTAATAGGGAAGGAATTAAGACTAAAGCAGAGAGAATTAGAAGGTAGTTGTTTTTCATTCTTAAACTCTTTACTGATGAATACTGGACCTATATGTTTTTCTGTTAAACCGAAGTAATGGTTTTTCCAATTTGCATAAAATATTACAGAATCAAGTTTCTGCAACTTTAAGCTTTCTACCACAGATTTTCCTCAAATCTCTGGCAACTGCCTTCTGCTTTTCTGTATTAGGCTGTTGCTGTAAAAATGATCTAGCACAGAGCTGATTTTGTAAACGGTTTTCCTCGTAGCACTTCAGTATTTCCTGGGTTTCATCAGATACAAACTAGTTAGAGAACCACTGCATTGTGATATTGGCCCGTGTAATGATACGATGACTACACCCAGAAATGTTATAATCAAGTGTAGCCCATCCAAACATGATGGAAATGGAAAGACGAGAACTAGAGGTTAACCTGTTAAGCCCACATAGTGTGTCTCTCCTCTCCTACCCTCCCCTTGCCCCCAACACACACACAAACACACACACACTTGAAGTCAAACACATAGACTTTTTAGTTGAAAGGAATCATTTTTAAAAGTAATTTACAATCTTTTAAATCCATTAATCTGTAAGATTTGCCCAAAGGTGGTCTCTGCGAAGTCTTTCCTGACCCCTCTCCCCTGCCCTGGCAGTGGGCCACTTCCCGGCACCCTCTCCCAGCACCCTGCAGGCACTTCCGTAATGGTACTTATCCACCAGGCTCTCCAAAGATGAGGATGATTTCCCGTTTCTTATTCCCCCGTGCTTATAAATTAGCAGATTCCCAATGAACACTGAATAGTCTCTTCATCTGTAAAATAAGTTCGGATGACATCCGCGCTAAGGGAGCTTCCAGATCCAACATGTTCGGCCTGTGGTTCAAAGTTTCCGTCCGTCCATTTCTCCCACCTGTAGGACCCAGATGTGATCAACACTGCTTTGCCCATAGAATACGGGCCCCTCGTGGAAGAGGAAGAGAAGGTGCCCATGAGGCCCAAGGACCCTGAGGGAATCCCTCCTCTGCTGGTCTCCGCTCCCCAGGCCAAGCGGGAGGAGGGCCGCGAGCCAGCCGCCCGCACGGCTCTGCCTTCCACCTCCTCGGGCAAAGCCGGCAAGAAGCCCGTGGCCGCAGAGGCCTCTGCCCGAGGCGCCAGGGCGCTGGCCGTGAAGGGGGGACACGTTAACATGGCATTCTCTCAGTCCAACCCGCCCTCGGAGCTGCACCAAGTCCAGGGGTCCAGAAACAAGCCCACCAGCCTATGGAACCCAACTTACGGCTCCTGGTTTACAGAGAAACCCACCAAAAAGAGCAATCCTCCGGCGAAGAAGGAGCAGCGCGAGAGGGGGAACCCGGGCGGCGAGGGCGGCCGTGCCATCCCGCCTCCCGCGGCCGCCGGCCACCGTCCAGGCACCTCTCTGCTCCTCGAGCCGTCCTCGCTGACCACCAGCCTGAGGGACGTGCCCCTGTTCAGGCTGCGCCACTTCCCGTGCGGCACCGTCCACTACGGCTACCAGCAGCAGGGCTTCCCCCCGGAGGCCGCCGCCCCGGGCCCGGGCCGCTATGAGGACCCCGCGGCCAAGAGCCAGCCTGTGCCCTGAGCCCGAGCCGCAGCCCGAGGGCGGCGTGCGCCAGGTAACGGGCCCTCCGCAAGCCCCAGAGCAAACGTCACTTTTCATTCTGTGCCAACTTGTTTTGAAGGGGCACATCACAAGCTGTATTTTCAAACTGCTTCAAGAAGTTTTGAGCACGGGTTCATCCTGTTCTTTCGAGAGGAGAAAATCTCATAAAGACGAATGATAAACACGAGTCCCGAACGGGGCTGCGCAGGGTTTTGACGCACGGCTGGTGTCCACCTCTCCCTGTTTCTTTCCGATCCTGTGCGCTCCGCCTCCACGCACGCAGAACTAGCGCTCATGTGTTTCCTAGTTGGAGTCATAGATGTTCCCTTACCTTGTTGATGTGGGCATGGACCACTTGAGGACAGAGGGAACAGAAATAAGGGAGTTCTCTGCAGTGAGTCAGCGTGGGGTAAGACATTCTTTACTGGGAAAAGAAAAATCATGGACAACTCGCTGAAACGTCACTGTGGATGACGTTTGGATGTTTTCAGTTGTGGTGATTCATCGACGATCGTAAAAATGTGGTAAATAGTTATGGTAGTAGAGAGAAAATGTGTATACACTCATCTAAGTGAAATGCAAATACTCAAAGTGCTTTGAGATGACAAAACACGGGTACAGATCGAGAGATTCCAACATCCAATTAATATACCTCATGCCTTAAGAGAACCCTCCTACTAAAAGTGAACAACTGAGTGTGAGGTTTCCTACTGGGTTGAAAACTCAAGATTTAAATTATTAATTACTTATTTTAAGACTTTCCACTAAAATAAACTCCGATGATTTAAAAAGAAAAAATTTAAGCAGCAGTGATACATGGAAGCAGAGAAACATATCCACTCATGGGCATTAGTGTCAAACCTTCCAACAGTTTCGATCATGAAGCTTCCCAAGTTGAAGTTTCTACTACTAGTGGTGGATCATTGGAGTAGCAGGCCCTCCGACGGTCCTAAGAAGAGGTACGAATGCAGTATCTATCCTTCCTTCTCGGGCTTCACCCGAGTTTTCGCTCCCTTAATCATGTGATCCTAGCATACACGGAAACACAAATTTGCTGAAATACACAGAGCATAATCTGTATACCTGTCAACTACAGGGTAAAAGAGAATTTTTTCTCTGGGTGGCAATGAGTAAAGGAACTAAGGAACACTTGGAGTGCTGAGGTTGGCAGTGACATTAGGATGGGAGTTCTGAACTTGGTTTTCGCGGATGAAATTTATCTCCATGCAAAGGAGTTGGGAATCTGTTAAGCCTTACACATGTACATATGCAGTGATGCTTTATCTCATTCTTTCTTTCTGCTCCCCTTCGTTCTCTTGCCCAGTTTCTTTTCTGGTGGTGGCTGTGCCAAAACATCACTTTGGGAGGAAAGCATCTTTTATCGCTTGTTAGGCACTAAGCATTCCCAAGCGAAAGGACAGTGTTTATCTACCTTTTCTCCTACCTTCTTAATTTCACCTACATCAAAAGTCTCACTCTGGGGCTTCCGTGGTGGCGCAGTGGTTGAGAGTCCGCCTGCCGATGCAGGGGACGTGGGTTTGTGCCCCAGTCTGGGAGGATCCCGCGTGCCATGGAGCGGCTGGGCCCATGGGCCGTGGCCGCTGAGCCTGCGCGTCCGGAGCCTGTGCTCCACGGCTGGAGAGGCCACAACGGTGAGAGGCCCACGTACTGCAAAAAAAAAAAGAAAACAAAAAGTCTCACTCTGGTTGTGGGAAAGCCATTCTGTTCTAAGCCAACACTAGACCAGTGAGTGTTGATTCCTCCCATGGCAGAGCCTTGCCCTAGTCAGTAGTTCTGCACATCTCTAGAAGCACTGACACCCTGGACACCACTTTTCCTTTAACTGCCAAAAATATTTTCATCAGACACACATGAAGATGAACCATCCATGAACTCATCTCTAAATACCTGTTATCAATAAAGTTTTAGCTCATGCCTGGTGCGAAGTCAAGTCTAATTATATAAACATTAGTCTAATTTGTAAACCACCTGAAGGGGTGCAAGAATCACACTTTGAAAAACACTCTCCTCAAAGGATGACAGAGAGCTGTCAAAACTGAGAAGAACAGTTTCATTTTATATTTGTAACACCAGTAGCCAGTGAAACAGGGAGCATGTTACGTGGTTAAATAGCCAACTCTTTCATTAACAAGGAAAAAAATCTTAGCCCTTTCTCTTCTTAAACACTACAGATCCATTACATTTTCAGGTTGTGCCTTACTACCACTGAGATTGATTTGTTGATTCTCTCTAATCATCTTTATTGGTATCAATTTTCGTGTAAATGAGAGTCCAATCTTAAAAGCCTGTATACGTGGAAAATAAACAGCTCCACACTGAGATATAACGTCCTCAAGATGTTTTATTTAACTCGCTGTAAGCCCAGGTATTGGCACGGTATTAATCTGGACTGTTGTACACTCAATATTGCTCCAGCCATATGGCTCCAGCAATTTGTACAGATGCTGTGGACTCACATATTTGTTAGTTATGATGCAAAGTCCCACCCAGAACATGAACAGGCACAATTAAAAGTCTGTAGATGTTATGGGAATTAAACCATAAGCTAGTATAATTATTCTTATTCCATGTCTAGAAAGCAGCTCATCAGAGTTCACAATCGTTCCATTGGGAAATCAGCAATCTGTGAGGAATGACCAGTTTATCCATACGTGGCACCTCAAAATGACAGCCAATCAACATAGCAGGAATGAACTTCATGTTTTAGAAAGAGTAAGGTATACTTAGTAGTTGAAAGACCAGATTCTCTAGCCCGTTAGGATGTGAGTCCTGGCTCTCCATGGCTTATCAGACCTGTCAATACCTCAACGTCTCCATATATTGTACAAACTAAGGATAATAACTTCCCTTTCTCACTGCCCCTCAGGAAGATTATAAATTGTGTGAAAGCACAAGCACTCCCTCTCATGCCTCTTGAATTCCCAAGTGATTTGGGTTGGGTGTGGGGAGAATTTCAACAGTCAGCGTGTGTCTCTACACACCTGCCCTCCCCACCACCCCCGTCTGGCCCTCCCGGCTCCCCTTCTGTGCCATGTTGGCTTTGCCTGTCACTTATTTAATGACGGTAGCAAGAACCCTACCAGAACCAAGGGCTTTCAGGGCAAAAGAAGAATGTGAAGACTCTCTACCACACTTAGTGTTAAAAAATAAGCATCAAAGGAAGATATTTAACCCATTGGATGAATTCTTTTTAAAAATTTTCTGGCCTCTCCATGTAGTGCTTGGTAAGCGCTACAGCTGTAAGATATCATGTAACCACAGATTAACTCCAGCCCATAAAATGTGAGGCTTTTGCATCCAAATCCACACGGCACACCACTAAGAAATGCTAAGGGATCAGGCTATTTTGCTAGATTTTTCTCCAGTAATAGTAGGATTAAAATTCACATGAGCTTTGTAGACCTAAAACATGACGCTTATGAATTTAGACTACTCTGAATAACAGACTTCCTATGACAAGATTCATAAAATGTATGAAGTGTGTTGTCAATCTGTCTTTAGCTAATGACTTTTTAAATGGGTCCCCCAAGAACATACAACTTGACTTTGCTAATTTCATTGCAGCAGATGGTTCCCTATGCTGTTGTGTGAACATACAAAACGAAAACCAGCATTCCCATAATCCTCCACAGGATGCCCTAAAATAAAAGATAATTATCAAGAACAACTGGTAAGGCTTCTATTAAGATTCTGTTTTGATTTGGTATCCTCAGTAGGTGTGTTTAAGTTCTAATGCACCACTCAAGTACAAAGCTATTTTTAGCCCTAGCTTAACAGCTTTAAAACATTTGAAAAGCTCAGTGCAACAAAAGAATATGGCATGGAGTTGGGGGGCAGGGAGGAACACGGACACTAACCACAGCATCAGAGCGACGTTTCTCCCCTCTTCGGCTGTTCAGTAAATGTAAACACGCGTGTAACCCTTCCACGTAAAGACGGCACCACCAGGGTAGGAGAACCGCAGGTCCCGGGTCTGCCTGCAGCGCCGTCCGCTGTCCATTCCTCAGATCCTTCTGCTTGACACGTGCTCCAGCGGTTGTCCCACTCCGTTCATCTGCTATGGCCTACTGCCTCCTTGAAAGCAATTGCTCACAATTAGTTATCCCGCCATCACTAAAAGGCTCGTTGGGTAGGTGCTTTTCAGCCGATGCTAGCTGAAAGGCAGTCTTACTAAATGAACTCACTAAGCCTTAGCAACCAGTAGATTAACGCTCCCTAGAGCGTTTACATGTAGCGTTTACATCTTGAGAGGTTATTTGCCAGTAGAGATGACTATCAGACTGTTAAAACCTCAGATGGTTATGATATGTTGCATGGTTTAGCGCTCATCAATTATTTGAGAAACAGTAGGCAGACCGAGCAGGAGTTAAGGGCGTAGGAGTTAGACAGCAATTACCTACCTACATGACCCGAGCAAGTTGAACTCTCACTTTCTCATTTAAAAACATGAGCAGTTTGGTCTCAGAGGCCCGCTTCCTTTGATTCTGAAGTCTATGATTCTGTAAGACTTCACCTCTGTGTAAGGTAAATCCCAACACCTGGCCCACAGTTGGTAGGACATGACCGGTGTGTGCGTGCGCACGTGCGTGTGTGTGTGAGACCCTTAAATCCATTCCGGGGCAAAGCCAATTAATTCAGTGCACAATCCCAGTGAGCCTATATTTAACCTTTATACAAAAGCAGACCAGAAAGAAGTTTAGCATCAGCTCTCTGTTTATTGTTCTATTCAAAGATCTCTGTAACAAATCACAAAATCATTAACATGGCAAAATGAAGTTGCTGTCTGGGGTGGTTTCCTGAAAGAAGCAAAGCTGACGCAGGACTGTGAGAATCACGTCTGTTTAGCGCCCTTCACGCTCACCACGGCACCACTTACTCTCTTTTATTACATTTGCCACAGTGGCCACCTTATTAGCAAAGTAAAATCACGCAACTTATCACCTGAAGCGTTATCTTTC